TATATATATATATATATATATATATATCAATAAGCACATGAAAAGAGGCCCATCCATCAGTAGAAATGTTTTTCCATATCTGCTCCTGGTTGCAGGTGATTATCAGGTCTGTGTTTCTGCAAACATACATCAGTATTATCCAGATCTGCACTCAAAAAAAAAATTTTTTTTCTTTTGATGCTGTTGACTTTATTTAAATAATTGATTTTGATTGAACAGCATTGTATCAGGTTTCTCGTTGAAACTTGGTTGCATCATGTTAAACTGACTTTGGCTTAACTCGAGGTTTTTATTTTGATGTTTCAATCAAGTAGCCCAAAATACGTTTACACTTCCCATCATGCTCTGCACGGGGTTGGATATGGGGAGAGAAAATGTTGAAATAAAGTGTTATTTTATGCATTTTTGTGAGAAAACAGTGAGACTTGTTCATGTCTAATGTTCTATTATGTTGGCATTTTAACCCTAAAAAGGGCTATTTTCCATCTTATTAGGACACAAATAATACAAATCTGTTTGTTTTTTTTATTTTTTTTTAAACTTGACTTTTATTTTTTATTTTAATGTTTGTATCCCCCAGGATTGTTTGGTCACTTTTAGCTACATTTTTAAAACATTGTATTCTCTCATAACTTACAGTAAAAATTTGTTGCAATATTTGTGTTAAACAATAATTATAATGTCTATGTATGAATATATTATCATATTTGATACACAAATTTCCAGGGCCTATAAATGATCAACATGGTCATAATTTTGCTGATGGAGCTGTTGTACACAATCTATTTCATGCCTTCTTCCTCTGATTGATACTTCATGTTGTTGTTGTTTTTATCAGGTAAAGTATTTTTGCTGTGAAATCTTTCATGATTTTTATATACATTTTAAATTGTTTATATTTTATATTGTTAATAATAATTCAAGATGAACATTTACTGGGCTGAACCAGCTTGGGTTTTCTTGATTATGCATTTATCATTTTTTTTACTTTTAAAATGTAATTTTTTTGTGTCTATAGGTTTTAATGTGTATAGGTTTATTTGTGTATTTCTCAATAATCACTGAATTGCAGTGGATTGCATATATGAGCCTTAAAAACCTGATGTATGAAATGCAAAGTTTCAACAAAGGATAAAATCCCTTGCAGTAGCTCTGCTACTAAATGTATTTACAATGGTTAACTCTGTACAGCTGTCGCGTCCGGTGTAGACACCGTGTCTGTGTGTGAACAAAGAAAACAATCAGTATAAATATAACGATCAGTAGCCTAAACATCGCACATCCAGCGATGTGACTATCGCGGATGCGCACATCACGATATCGATGCTGAAACGATATATCGTGCAGCCCTAATAAATATAATTAATATATTAAAGTTATATTACCATATTAATAATATATAATAACAGTTTTCCAGTGAAATGAGTGTAACATATTGAAGTTATATTAATTTAATATATATTTTGTTTATATAATGATATATTAATAATTTATAATAGCAACACTGTTCCAGTGGGATCAGTATATTTAATATATTAACATAATATTAATATTAATAATATGTAACAACAACATTTCTCCATTGGGATAAATATATTGAATATATTAAAGTTAATTAACATATCAATATTGATAATATATAATAACAGTTTTCCGGTGAAATGGGTCTATTGAACATATTAAAGTTATATTAATTTAATATATTAAATTAATAAAAAAGTATATTATATAAGGAAGCATATTAAATAATAAAAAAAGTCCTCAAAAATGATTGAAAATAATTAAACGGTCAGTAATAAAAATAATAAAAAAAGCAAAGGACAAATACAATAGAAAAAAAGATACAAATGTAACAAACTGTGCTTTATGTTTTTTATGCAAGTCTATATTATATAATATATTAAATAGGGCTTTTTTGCATTCTGTCTCTGCTTTTTCTTTCTTTTTTTATTGTTGGTCTGTTGCTGGACTGATTTTTTCCCCCTTAATTATACTAATTACATAAATTGACAGCAATAATAAAAATACATTTATTAATTAATAAATAAATACAATTTAAATTAATATATTTATTAATAAATAAATAAAACTACCAAGTGAAATTAAATTTACAGCCACAATAAATAAATAAATAAATAAATAAAATTGATAATAAATTATATTAAATTTGTCGCTGGACTGATTTTTTTCCCCTTAATTACAGTAATTACATAAATTGACAGCACTAATAAAAATACATTTATTTATTTATTAGTAAATAAATAAATAAAATTTAAATTAAATTAATATATTTATAAATAAATAAATATACCAAATTAAATTTAATTTCCAGCCACAATAAATAAATAAATTATAAATTTTTCTAAGTGTGATCTGCATTAATTCTAGAAATTCCAGTTTAATCAAAGCCGCTAGATGAATTTATGAGGAAATCTCTAAAGTGAGTGACTGATTGATTGATTTTAATTTAGTCAAACCACACGATGCACCACGATACACACTGTATTATTTTTCCTCAGCAAATAAATCCTCATTTTCGGGGGCTTTGCCAGCGTTTGTTAGCGCTCAGCACGTTGACTTTAGCTATCAGAGCTCTAGGCTGAATTTAAAGGGGTCCTATTATGCTCTTTTACAAAGTCTTGATTTTGTTTTGGGGGTGTACTAGAACAGGCTCTCATACTAGGTTGTTCGAAAAACACATTATCTTTCACATATTTTACATTATTACAACACCTCTCTCCCCAGTCTGGCATGAACGGTGTTGTGATTGGTCAGCTGGGCCAGTGTGTGCTGTGATTGGTCAGCTGGGCCAGTGTGTGCTGTGATTGGCACCACTCGGCGCCTGGTCGGGAAATGTCATGCCCCTTACCATAGCCGCCTACGAGCTTCAGAGTAAATATTGCGTCAAAATAAAATCAATGTGAGCGCGATTTAA